CTGAGATTGCAAAGGAAAAATACATAAAGGGGAAAAATCTAGTTGAAAAAACATCTCCCTGGCTGGGTGGCACACACCTTAATCCTAGCACTGTGTAGACAGAGAGACCCGTCTGTGTGATTTGGAGGCCAGCTTAGTCTAAATGATTAGTTCCAGGCTAACAAAGTCTACACAGAAAGACCCAGCCAAGAGAGAGAAAGAGGGAGAGAGGGAGAGAGAAATCTTCTCCGTAGTGGCCTGCAGGGTAGTGGGATTAAAGCTGACATGTTTCTCCTTCCAACTGTTTATTTACAGTCTTAACTTTACAACTATTAAGGCAGCATTGTTCCTGAAACTATTTCAGGTCAGGAGAAGGTAGCCATGAGTAAGTTGGTGATGCCCAATAATGCAAACTGCTCCCACAAATAGTCTTCAGTCTGTTTCTTGTTCACACACACTCCAAAATGAGTATTCCCAATGTGTTTTTATTCCATTTTACTCTCAGATCTTCCAGACTGATCAATAAATTTGACAGCCAGTCCGTCATTAAGGAACTCAGACTCAGCTCCTCAATTTTCTCTTTAACAAACCACAGTTGGGGGAGGGCCTTGAAAACAAGGCCTGAGAGAATGTGAGTCGGTCTAGAAGGCTCCTGACCATTTTCTATCAGCTCCAGTTGCTATAACAGTCTTACTACTGCTGCACAGACCCTCACCTGAGGCTTGAAGCAAACATAATCCGCTTAGTTCATCATGAATGCAATGCTTAATACCGTTTGCTGCTTGAGAGGACCTATGGGCCCTACTTTTGCTTCTTCTTCGTCTTCCATCTTGTTTCATTAACGTACATTACTTTTTACAATGTAGCAGGTTTCATCTTGAAACTTCCTTATATGCATATAGCACATTTTGATCATACACACCCCCTCCTTACCTTTCCCCTCCTGCACACTCCCCCAGCAGTGTCTCCTTCCATATTTCTAACAATCCCCTCTACTACCATGCCTCCCTGTGTCCCAAATCCACACTTGAAAGAAAGCATGTGGCGTTTGTCTTTCTGAGTCTGGATTATTTCATTTCTCCTGATGATCTCCATTTCCATCCATTTACCTGTAAGCAATATACTTTTCTCTTCCTATAAAACCAGTACATTTCAGCCCAGCCTGGCATGGTGGCACATGTCTGCAATCCCAGAACTAGAAACTGAGAAGAGGGTTAAAAATCTAAGGTCATCCTTAGCAACAGAGAGAATTAGAGTCCACCATGAGCTACCTGAGAGCCTGTCTAAAAATAATAATAATAATAATAATAATAATAATAATAATAATAATAATGCATTTCCATTATAGAAAAGTAGATAACATAAAGATGCAAATAAGGATTAAATAAAAATGCCCTTCTTTCTGGTTATTGCCCTTTTCTTGCTCACAAAATTAGAATTAAATTATATTAATAATAATATAATTGTTATAATTTTTCCACTAGCTGTAAGAGAATACAAGCTTCTGTACACCACTGAGTAGGACTTTAAATAAACTTTTCTTACTGGCCAGACATGCCTATATCATGATCTATACTGTTGCAGATTTGGGTGGTCCATCTTACTGGCTAGACAGCACATCATCCCATGCCTATATCATGATCTATATTCTTGAAGATTCGGATGGTCTGGGAGGTTTACCAAGAGGGTCTCATATTGACCCTGGCCTAGCATTGGGAACAAGCTTTTGTGGCAGGCATACTCAGGACCTGTGACACTCAAGTGTGTCTTTCCTTCTAATTCTTCATCTGGAAGGTCGTGTGCAGATGCCAGCAAACCTACGATTTGCAGTCATGTACTTGGGGATCCTCTGGGGATTCAGTCTCTCCTTTGTCACCTGCTGCTCTTACAGGGAAAGCAACACACAGTCCAGTTCTTGGCTAAAGGGTCCTGCAGCTTGCATGCACTTTTGTCAAAAGGGCCAGCTGTGTTACCGCCTCCTTCCAGCATAATGCTGACAAAATACCTACACTCAGAGGAGACATCTGAGATGCGCCCAAACCACCCTTTCAGGACTGACACTAAGACAGCCCTGAGGAGCTCAGATCAGTACAGCCCTGGGCTCCTACAAAGTCAAGAGCAACGAAACTGGTTTCTCAGTTGGGGGTGGGGGTGTCTCTGACCCAGCTGCAGCTGGTCATTGCCTGCCCAGAGGATCCCTATGTGGGGCTTCTGTGCCTAAGAAAGAGATGGAAAATACCCAATATTAATGTCCCAACACCCCAAAGGAGAAAAAAATGTAACTGACAGAAATGTAATGGAACAGTCAAAAACAGATGCAACCAGCTATGGATATTGTGAAATATATTAACAGTCTTACTTGTCCAAACCACTATTTTTATTCAAATAAAAACATTTTAAAGACATGTACTCTGATCTATTATGATAGTCCCCTTTCTGCTCAAATATTCTCTCCAACACCCCCTGTAGCAAACAGACTTTAATATATATGTACATATATATATATAATATATATATAATA